CCCAAGCCTATTGAAGTGAGGTGAAACAAATAAGCTGGTGAAGCCGCAGAGCCAGGATAACCTACCGTTTCAAGAGTCTTTTTGTTTCCGCAAAAATTGCTTCAAATTTCCATAAATAAGTGTAAACAAATGAGGAAATAGGTAACCTTCTCAAAAAATTTTGAGGATTCAAAATGTATTGAAATTTAGATTTGAGAATTTATATTCCCATAATTTTCAGATATACATACAATGTCTACAATGAAGTTTCTACCTGCCAGCCTATTTTTAAAAAAAACCTCCTCCTGTTAAGAAAATGAATAATTTTTTCATCGGGTATGGCCGTGAGAACAACATGTGGTTCGGATTACTTTCCACTCAAAGTCAATATAAACATCCTTAGGGAGTGTCGAGGAAAAATCTGCAGAAGGCTCAGGGAAACTTTGTCATGGACCAGTTTTCACTTATGCTGTGGTCGGGGCAGCTCTATGCACTGAAGCCCTAGGAAAGAGGCCCAGGAATTTTGGCAAGATGAAATATTGAGATCGAGCTCACTGGTTTCTCATCTCCCCGCCTAAGGTTCAGTCCCTTTCTGTCAGAAAGGAGATTTTACAGGAGTTTTTAGTGGATTGCCACCGCAGTGCCCCCATGTATTGCGATAGCCCCTGGAATTGTTCTCCTAAGTGTCTGTATGTCTCAATTTCAATTTTCGTAAGGACTCAATACAGGAAGGGGATTATTTCATTGGCGCCCTATATTCATGAAACTGTATTTGACTGTGTGCTTCTTATTTTTTTCTCTCCCTATTCCCTCCTCTTTTATGCACTCTCTTACGCAATCTCTTTTACTGATTATCTCTTGTGTTTTTAGTCAAATGGCTTCAATTACGGGAAAAATGCTGAGGAACTCAGCCGCAGTTCTGCACGTCAATATCACACGATCGTACGCTCTGCCGGTTAGTCTGAAGAACATTGATTGATGTTTCTGAAATATTTTGTGCTACTATTGAACAATGGATGAGAATTCCATACAATTCTATTGATTCCTCCCAAAAATGGCCTTGCTAGGTGAAAAATGGAAGGAATTGGTTAAACATTTTTACCTATGAGTTATAGCCTCCACCTTATTCCTTTTCCCCTCGTTGTTTAAGGAGTAAATTCTGTCCAGAAAAGTAAATGAGCTAGTAATTTCAACCTTGGCTGAAAATCCTATGGCGATTCCTTCCAATCAATTTTTTGGTACTGTGTAACGACTGCGTAATCTTCTCATTCTCAAAGAAACAGTTTTTGCCCATTCATGAACTTCCGTTTCTGTTTTTCACATTCTCACACTTTACAAACATTCGAAGTGCTTTTCACTCGTTGACCTTCTACCGAACTGGGAAAGGAAAAAGTATAGAAAAAATGATCACTCACCAGGAAGGGTCATTTGGTCACCCTGGCCAATTGGAATGTGGTGTAAGGTATACTGTGCGTGCTTTCAAACGCTGAGCTCAAATCTGCTTTCACTATCTACTAGAAACTTTTCTGTAGAAGGAATTATGAAGCAGAAAAGCGCAACGGCAGTATTGTGGACTCCAGACAAGAGCTCGCCAAGGGATCGACTCTCTTGGCGAGCTTACTCTTTCGCCGTTCTGAAATCACTGGTCTAATATGTTTGCGTGCTGTCCTTTACAAAGAATTTGTGGGCAGTTAATAACGAATTTGGGCGACACTCCTGACCACTCTGAGCGCCTGTAGCGCAGGCGCCATGAATCGAGCCGAACACGTGTGACATTTTGGTCAGGAAGACGGACTCCCTCTACAGGAAAAGTTCTGGACAAATCTGAAATTTTGACCAAACCTCGAAAATTTGGGCAGTTCGCTCACTGATCCATCAATCCATTACAAAGGGATGGTATTAGGGAATGAACCTTGAGTCCACACTTCAGAGAAGACAAAAATGGTATCTGGCTTGCCCGTTTGCATCATCCTAAAATCTGCAAGGGATTATTCCCAAATACAGCCCCCTCCCATTATCCATGATTAGGCAATTCTAGAATTGGAGTATGTGGAGTGCTAATCCCATCACTGCTCCTCTTTTTTTCAACTAGGTCGTAAACTCAGGTTTGGCTTGAAACTCGTTTCTAGGGGTAGTTTGGTCTTCTGAACGCGATCATCGTACCTACTTGCTTCGGAAAAGCCTAGCCTCCTGCACTACGGGCACATTGGGCACTTACAGGCAAGTATTGCTCAAACTTAAGAGGATCTGTTTGCAAGCACTCCATATATGGAGCTCAGGCGAACGTTGATAAAATAATATATTTGAAGGCTTTTTAGCTATGTCGAAATAATGCGAAGCACCGAACTCGCAAAGGACCAAACCCGCGCCATCCTTTCCTGAAAGCAAGACCGCTATCATCGACTGCTTACACCAGCTCACCGAGATGGCTCTTGCTTGATTCTGTAACTGGACGTATGTGTCATAGGCAGAAAAGACAGTGAAAAGTATGGGGCGACGAAGGAACCCTACATAACTATTCCATCAGAGAGATTTATCAGACGGTGAAACAAGATTTGAGCTCTTCATCTCAAGATGCATATGAAAGTGCATTTCATTTGACTGGGTTTGCCTAACAACTTTCCATGGACAGAAGAGAAAAGCAGGAATTCATAAAGAAATTGGACATGATCTCCATCCTTTGTAATTCGTAAATACAGGGTGCGCCAAAATTACGGAGACAGCGACTTCGAGTTGCCTAGGATGAGCAAGGTGCAATTCTTTGAAAACAAAAATGCAGTGACGTGCACAGTCCCATTCTGAATCGTCGACATCCATGCAATTTTTGAAATTCCTTGGTTTGTGTTTATACGGGTCCTCAGAAACATCGAGGAACCATCGACTGTGGCACGCAATGTGGCGAGTAGGACTCGTCAAGCTCATTTTAGAGCGGTTTCTTCAACGAATCCATAATGTTTTATGCAAGCCTCAGCTTCTAGAACGGATCCGACAGCGTACCCTATCGAGCTCAGATCTGAAATGCTGTTCTACCACCGTTTAAGCCGACAAAGTCGAAAAAATCGGTTCTGCATCAATGCTGCACTAGTACTGAACCACCCTTTCCTCGTAAACGGGAGTTCCTACTTGATGGAAGGCCCAGCAACGATTTTCAAAGTGAAAATAAACTCAGGATAGCAATGGGCTCTGATAAATCCAAAAGAGCCCCCCTGATTCCTATCTCTCGTGACATCCAGTGAAACCAGCGCGTCAACTACCTGCAAATTCTATCGCACACAATCCTTAGATTGTTCGTGGTCGCCACAGAAACACGCCCTTCTCATCCAGAATGACTGCATTCAGCTCCTTGTCCCCTGTACCATTTGGAGCATCTATTGATAGTGCTCGGGTATACACCAAAACGATGATAATTGTCGCGTGCCAAAAACCCTCAACGTCGAAGTCCAATGATTTAGGGACGGTGTCAGTATCAGTCAACCGCTGCAGCTACCATAGATTTTGGTGGTTGAACAAGGTAAGCATAAACAATTCTACACCACAGTACCAAACTAGGACAGAAGAAAACAGCATCTGTGAATATCAGTTCAAATTGTTTGCTCATGCGTTGTCTCCGTAATTTTGGCGCACCCTGTATATGCTAGTGCTAGTTCCGGCTCGGCTTATAGCTTATAGATGCACCTTACTCTGCAGCCACATCTGTCATGAAATGAATGGTTATATAAGACTCTCTCCAAGTTCTCGGCCCACAGACGTGGCGATCGCGATTAGACCGGAATATCAGCATCGCGTTTTTGTGGCCACGCCTTCCATTCACGAGCCAGAGGCACATTTTCCAGGCGACCCCCACTCGATTGATGACTGAATCTCTTAAAACCAGGCTGAATCGTGTAGACGAAATGATGAACCACTTTCTAACACCTCTTTTTGTGTCACAGGTTGCTTCCAGAACAACAAAACCGGGCTCTCGAAGGGACATAGCAAGGAAACATTTTAGTGCCGCGAGTGGAAATTACCTGATTTTGCCACCTCGAATTGGCCAAGCTGACTTCTCAGCAAATTCGAAGTCCTTTTTGTTTTGACGAAGGCATTTGAAAACGGTCTTTGACGTTGACGGCTGATGACAGTTAAGGTGAAGTCAAAATAATATGACATCTCGGGCTAATATTTTACGAGTTCGTTTACATTTTCCCATAAACAGATATTGGCAGACATAAATTTTGTACTTGAGAATGCTGTAATACCACCGCAATCACGTCCTACAGGGTGTGCCATAGATATGGTAGCAATAACGTTATGGCTCAAAAAGCGAACTACTAAATGAAACCTGGTGAATCGCTGCCAAAACTGAATTGAACCAACGGAATAGACGCACTGCTCTACAATATGACCCTATTGAATGCAAATTAATACTTGTAGGCGTGTCGGAGTCAGCCTCAACGACATCATGCAGGCCTTTATTGACAAACTTTGACATAGACTATACCCACCCTGTGACTTGTAAGGGGCTCCAGTCGCAGTATGGTTATCAGCCAATGAAATTCTCGAGGGGGAAGTGTCGTCCTTGTCACGGTGGATAATAGGGGGTGGTAATTGTGAGGGTCAGTAACGAACACATGAGTGACTTAATGGTGCAGATAGGGGGAGATGTAACGCAGGAGAAAACGAGGATACGTGAGGACACATGATAAAATATATTATTGGCAGCTTCAGCCTCTACATTCCTCTAGCTTTGCGAGAACGACGTATTTGAACGCAGTAGCAAAAATGAAAGTGCATCTCTGCAAGGAACAGGCCACATTTGTACACGCGCTACTAAAGAACCTCCTCCACCTGCCGCCCGCTCCCTCTCCCTCAATG